AACAAACAAGTTCAAACTCATTTGTTGAGCTCACTACCTATTGCGCGTTATTTGTTCTATTGTGGAATTTTTTGTGATTCTAATTTATAGTTCATGCGCGTTCTTACGTTCCTATGTTCTACCTGTACGTTTTAACATTTTCTTCTATGTTATCGATAAAGAACCACTGCTTGAAACGTCTAGCTATTTTTAATAGTTATTTAGGACTACGATTACCAAATATTATCTTCTATATATCATATTTATCAGTCCGAGCAGCATTTATTTATTTATTTATAAGACTAGAACCATGGTGCTTCTTGGTGTTCTAGAGCAAAACTGTCTAGATGTTGAAACATAGGAGTCAAATTATATTAGTATCAAAGGGGGAATAGATCAGTGTAAGAATGCAAGTTGCAACATGACCAAGTGCATGTTTGATTTATTGAAGTGCATTACTTCTCATTGCTGATATATTATTGTTTTCTATAGCTGGGAAGCATGATGCGAGTACAGCAAGGGGTATGTGATTGAGAAATAAATAAATCACAATATTAGTGCTAGCCATTAAATAATGATAGTTCATCAATAGTTGTATTCCAAGGTTCATCAGTAGAACATATATCATATATAAGGAATATACATATATCATATATAAACATATAAGAATTTTTAGCTCTCATTGATAGCCAGCGGATACTTATGTACTGTCTGTTCATCTGAGCAACATATGTGTGACCACAATACATGTATATCAAGATTCAGTCAAAATCATGCATACTGAGCAGTCATATACTATTGGAATATTGCAAGATCTGATTAGATTTGGTTACAAATTTGAAAAAGGATGGAATTCTTGTTTCATTGATATTACAAGAACCAGTGCTCAGATTCACATGATTTTTTTCCTTAATGCACTCACTTCGCATAGGTTTTTCAAAATGGCCATTCTTTCATTAAGTGGGAAGAATTTTGTTCATCATATTGTATTCAGACTATATTTACATGTACCTTAAATTATCAAATTTTCAGCTTGAAGATGTATCCATTGAAATATCTGAGACATAATCGAACACGTGTTTCCCCAGGCAATACTGCAGAATCGTCTGTGGGCAGCGATTGGGTTACCAGTGTTTTGAATGCAAAAAAACAGTCTTGAGTTGGCAATTTGTTCCTGTACATATTTGTAACAGTATCTATATTTGTAGAAGTAACAATGGTGTTTATACATTTGTAATTCATTTTCCATCCTCATAATCCTACATTGCAAGGCTGACAAAACTACTAGACTTGCAAAATATGCAGTGATCATTATATGTTGTTACATATAACATTATTGTTGCTAGCCAGATTTTTTTAGTTCACCAACTAGCAACCTAGATATTTTATTTAATCCCCATTCACTAAATTTAATTGCCATGGTGACCAAAATGGTCACAAATCATAGTCATGGTCATGTTATTTTCAACCATCATTTGAAATTTATAAAACGTTTATGAATATTGATGCCTTCATGAAATTCTCTGTATTTACAAATTTCTATGTTGAAACTGCAATGTTCCTTGGATTGGTTGAAATGATCACAGGTGCACTATGGGTAGATCAGATCCCATGATGCAACTATCACATCATCCATTTCATTCACAGTGTAGCTTAGACTTCTACAAAACAGATTCAACTTTGGGGATTATATTAATTAATAATTAATGACATCCATTTTTGATGATATCATGTAATGGTTGCCATAGTAATAAATTGATTCATTAATAGGTTCGTGGGTTAATTACTTTGGTCACCATTTAAAATCAAACTGCAGAATTTTTGCATATAAATGACATCATCATCATCAAACTCGTAATGATATGAGCATAAGTTTATTAATACAAAAACTACTGCCCCCTATTTCTGAATTATAGATGTAAGTGTAACTACAGATCTACCGGATAAGTCCTACTCCCCGGATGACATCCAGATATGGCTGGAATCAAAACCACACTTTGCTGAAGTGTTTACTGAAGTGTTTAGATATGCATTCAAATTTCAAATGGCAAAGGTAAGTCCAATTTTCGATTGCCATTTAATAAAAACAAAAGTATAATGTGATTTTGTTCGTTGGTGGCAGTATTCATTAAGTAGAAAGAGTTATAATGTATAATTCCTTTTTATCCCTTCAGACACCTGAATCAACTTTTTTTTTACCTTTCATAAATTAATTTATGATCACAAGCAGTAGGCCATTGGGGAATTAGTTTATGTGGTCCAATAAATGTATTTAAATTTGTAAAAATTCTAGAAAAATCAGATTCTATTCCGCTCCACTTACTGGCATGTTGTTTTTTTGCAGAGTGTAGTGACTGCCTCCACAGATGCCTACCAATCAGTCGACATCTTTCCTCTATGTCAAGATGTGAAATTTATATGGAATAAACTACAAACGCTACTAGACATTCCGTCAATGTTAATGTTGAACCAACATTTACCCGGGAAACTGAAAACCGAATGGAGGTTGTTATTTTCCACCAGATTACACGGTGAAAGCTTTGCGACATTCTTGCAACATATTACTTTGAAAGGACCTACGATTATTCTAGTCAAAGATCATGATGGTCACATGTTTGGTGGGTTTGCATCGGAGGAATGGAAAACACAGGCGCAATTTTATGGTAAGAGTTCATTGCACCATTTGGAGCTTATTCAGTAGTCATGAACTTGATTCGAAGTTGTGTACAATGATAAAATGGCTTGTCTAGCCTATACATTGGGGGTGAATTGTCATAGTAATCATTTATAGGGTGTGCAATTTGGATTCTCGCTGTAGATTTATTAGTATTATTTAAAAAATAAGGAAAATGTATATTTCCTTGTATATTTTACATTGATTTGTCACCATGCACCGGTAGTGTAGTGGTTGTTGCATTGGCCCCATTAACAATTGGTCAAGAGTCAAGAAAAAAGAGTCAAGGGATGACACCGGAACTATGATCTGGTATGGAAATATTAAAGAGGCCATAGCTGTCTCAAACTCATTTTTAGTTAATTATACGTTTCAAGACTTTATTTTTCCTTGACTTCATATAACTTGCAATAAACAGCAATAACAATGGATTATTGCTATTTTACACATTATGTAACTTACTGAAAATTAAAACAAAATGGTGCCGTCCACTGTTCAAGAAACATGGTATAGTAAGCCTGCTGTGACAAACTTATCATGAAAACAGTATTTTATGTTGAAAAACATCAAATAAATGTTAGTTTTAAGGTAGCGAGGCTATTATTTGTGTTGAAAATTACGATTTTCAAATTTATTTATTAATTGATGAAATGCACTATAAACTTTCATATGATAAAGTCAACATAACATAGAATGTCATGTAAGTTGGTTAAAATGTATATTTTCTGAAGGGAAGCAAGGCAGCCTCAGTAGTGTTTTCTAAAATCAACAACACAGGTTTAATCTGTGTGCCTATAAGTTTCAAAGATAAACTCAAGACAAAGCAATGTTAGGATGTGTTATCAGTAGCTATCTGACACACAATGAGTGTTTCCAAACATTCGAGTGGTTTGTCTCCGCCCCTGTTTGTTTCACAGATTAGTCATTTGCATATGAATGTGTCAGACACAAGGTCACACAGCCACTGAAAATAAATCATTGATTTTGGTGTTTTCATATGCCGAATTTATCCAATTATAGCTATCCCATTCCTTTATTTTTGACTCCCATGTGCGAAGCACAAAATGGGAGTCTTTGCAGTTAGTGTGTCTGTATGTATGTGTGTGTGTATGTTTGTATGTGTGTATGT